TTCCCTGAGCCTCAAAACAACAGCATGGCTGTAACTAACTCTGGGAATTTACTTATTAACAACACTATGCTGCTCTGCTTTTACTGTGACACGTCTCCATGCTTTAATGTTCAAAAAGCTCTTTATTTTTCTCATAATGCCTGTGCTGCAGAACCTCTTTTCACCCTCTGTCTGAAACCAGAGCCCATTCTGCTCTGATTGGTTAGTTTGCCGGCTCTGTTGTGATTGGTCCTATTACATACAATGTGTTTGAGCAGTGGCCAATAGAAGGTGTTACATATTGATGTAATAATTAGGGCCGGGACTTTAACGCGTTAATTAAGATTAATTAATTACACAAAAATGAACGCATTTTAATCGCACTTATTTTTGCACCGCGGAACGTTTCTCACTGGATGAGTTTCAGGGGTACCGATTATACTGGAGCACCAACTAACGTTCATGACTTCAGACAACAACAAACCATAGTGAACAATTGTCAAACATGAACGAAGAAGCTGATGAGACCGCTTTGGTTGGCCCCGTGGATGGGACATTTTGTTTTAAAAAACGGACGGATGGAAGCGTCAATAAGAGCACGGTTGTTTGCAAATTATGCAAAAAGGAATTTGCATATCACCGCAGCACATCAAGCCTCAAGTATCACCTCAATGCAAAACATATAGCAGCTAGCGTGGAAGCTAGCGTGGACGTTAGCCCGACTCGGAGTACAAGGACCCACACCCAATTCGCGTTGATCAAACAGTGGCCTATGCAACAGAGAGATTTTATTTTTCATCAGGATATTGGAAGAATAGGAGGGATTGAGGTCAATCACTGGCACTTTTTTATTTTATTTTAAATGGTACACTTTATGTTGAACTATTTATTACGTTGTTGGTGCAACTGGCACTTTATGTTGAACTGTTTATTGTTTTGGCCAAGGTTATTGAGAGAGTTGGACTGAAATTGATTAGATTTTTTAAATCAACTGTTGGTAAATCAACAAAGTCTGTTATGGCCTCTGAAGCAACAAAGAG